TTCTTCACTGAACTAGCACACAACGTCGTACTCATCAGCTTCAAATTGTTTCCACAGAAAGGAAGTTTTCTTTGCTCATTATACAAAAACGATCGTTCAGGAATGTGAAAGTAGTCAGACAGGAACTCAGTAGTAACAGTCGAACAAAAACACTGATATAAAAGGCCAGTTCGGAAGGCAAAACATGATTTTAAAAAATTGCAACAGAATATGAGTTAACTTTTTTCTCTTACTTTGGGGTTATGCTTAAATCCGATGTTTGTTTGAGTAGTATGACGATTTTAAACGATTTTAAAGAACTATCATGGACATGTAGATTCTGAAAAGACTCTGACTACCTTGTGTAGAAAACTACACTGTGTGTTGCAAAGTCAGTCGAGAATACTGTTACAGTTGAACATATTCAGTGCATGAATTCAAATCCAAATATCTTCTCACTCTAGCGAAAGTACAACATAAAATCCTCCTAATACTTTTGTTTATTAATTCGTAATAGTGGAGTGAGAATTTTACAAGTGAATACAATATATTTCCTTTTTGAATTAGTTCGGCATCATTTGTTATTTTCAGACTTAAAGATCCTTTCAATTTTTTCAAATCCAGAACTCGAAATAAATTACGAACAGTAAATATCTTCTAAGTTGATTTATGGACTCTTGAACTACAGAGTTAAGAAGAAAAATAATAAATAAAATATCACAAATGCATCAGATCACTGTGCCTTATTATTATATTCTGTAAATCGACATTATTGCTAATGATTAGGTTCTTCTGAATTTCCTCCATTCATACGAATAATTGCCCATTCGTTATCTTACTACTGAATTGTCTTCATTTATCTACATACATGCAGGTGTACAGGGAGTGTCCTAATATAAAAAAATGTCCGAGCAATCATATCTTGGTTTTGTCCAAAAAAGTATCTGCCGAGTCACTGTTCGGCCTCAAACAAGAATATTTTCTGTTCTGCTCCTCACCCACTTCTTTTATTTTCCTTTCTCAGCACCTTATCCTAATCCTTGAATATTACTTTCGACATTTGCAGAAGACTTGGTTACTTTACCCAAGAGCCTGTAGATTGTTCTGATGAATATCAGTTAGACCGTTGCACATTTACCTCATTTGTTGTTGTTATGTACAGACTTTACTTTACTTTGCATTGTTTCGCAACCAATAGCTGTTCGTCGTCGCGAATATTATTCGAATTATAAATTGCAGAGCTTAAAAAATTATTTATAATTTGATGTTAAAAATCTTAGCCATCTTTATGAAGCCAATGTATCATATGAAATATATTAGTAAACGAACAAACCTTTACAGAAAATATGTTAGCAATTTTAACATTTTTATCTTGCCTGTAAATTGGCATTCCTCTTCTATCAAGTTGTTATTTGGGAATAAATTACAAGTATTATTACAATCTCATCAACATTTTTGTACCTGAAATCAAGTTCTAAAGTTGATACTGAAAAACAAATTATCATGTGTGAACTTCAAGTGTATGACTTCCTCGGTCTTCCATGTACTTAAATCATTGGTTGCTCCGGTTGTTATAAAGTGGCATCAGCCTCGCAACTTCAGAAGAAACTCGGCTTCCAATAATAGGCGTCATAACTACTCTGACAGAAGACGTTCCAAATCACAGGAAAGAATTTGAATGGATTGGATTATTTGTTATGATTAGTTGTTTTGGTCATTTGCACTCCTATAAGGTGGGATCATTAATCCTATCAACAACCCTCCGCCTCTATCTGATATCCAGTCCGGCAGTAACAGAAGAGCTCTACATGCAGTCATGGGGTTCTTAGACCTCAGTAACTGAACATAACACGCTTCCTGCCAAATGGTGGCTGCCACTATTTTGACATTTCGTGTCAATCGACGCCGGTTGCGAACTGCAGTTCACATGCATCCAGACAGGCTATATGGTGAAATAATTAAGCGCAGAAGAAAATTGAAGCTACTCATGGTGGTCCACCAAGAGCGATGAACGGGAAACATCCATCTATATGAATCTGTATGTAAGAAAGAAGTTTGGGTTTTCATGTAGGTTGATAATAATTTCATCTGAGGGGGGTTAGAACCCAAGACAAAATACTTCATGTCTACAGTTTCGTACGTCGCATCGATCAGCGAATTACGAAATTACCCATTATTTACTTCGTTCTGAAATTGTACCCTTATTAGCATTGGAATTTTCTCCTTATTATTTTACTCATTGCAGCCAGATGATCTCCGGTCTGGTAATGTGATCGCTGCTGGTATCCAGGATTCTGCTCTGAGACAAACGTATTCATTCTAATCACGGGACGAACAATCTCACAAGCCACTGCCAACTGACTGGAATAGGACAGTCGAGTAACTAGATCTCAATTCACTGTACACTACTTAACACCTGAAACCGTACCAAAAGAGCAAGGATCGAGCTCAAAGAAATCAATCGGTTTATGCTAGCTCAGGAAAAAGATATTGGAAATATTGGATATTGGATCTGAACGTCAAGGTCTTATAAAGTAGTAAGAACGACTTTTGATTTGTAGGTCAAAAGTCTTCAGACTGTGTGAGTATCAAGATTTGGTATTTGCACTGGTTTTTATTCGAAACAGAGGTTTGAACCACTCTTTTCGATAAATCACAAATAAAATAATCATTATCGCCTTTCGGCAAACTTATAAGCGTAGCGATAAATTGTATGTTGCTACTAACCAAGTAGAAATCGGCAATATATGGTCTTTAAAATACCTGAAAATCAACAGAAATTCCCATTTCAGAACCGGACAGTGAAATTCAGATGCTGATTAAACCAAAACTCCAAAAAAGTTAAGCTTTACTCAACCTATTCTTGGTGCCTAATTTCTATTGTAAAATCATAGCAAGTTAATTTTACAAAAAGAAAGGGATAAGGTTACTTGAGATCTCCTGTATAACACATTCACCTAACTTAATTTTATGTATATCTTTCGTAATAAGTCAATATATTAACATTGAAAATCACCTTGTTGGTCTGCGTAGTTGTACATAGCTGTATCCTTATATCGTTTTTAATTTCATTTTGTTTGACTAGTTATGAAATTTTCAAATCAGCACTGCTTTAATATTGTCTAAAAGTGTTACTAACATTTGATAGTGAAACCTGCAAAGATGTTCGGAATCACTGTGGTTTAGTTTCTACGAAATATGTAATTGAATAGAAGCACGTAAATTCAAATTGACTGAGGCTCTTTAGTCATACGAACACATCTTCTATCAGCAACACGTTGTCAATTGAATTAACTATAAACCTTTCACTATAGTCCTTTAAAAGATTCCTCTTGAAATATTGTGTCAAAACGTCTGGGATGTTTTCGCGCGTCATCAATGTCCCGTTTCTTCGAGGATAAGCTGTTTTAATTTCACACAACTTTGAATGTGTTACCAGTTTTATAGTGAATAGATTTAAATTATTTCGAGCCGGTGCAGTTGGACTTGTTTTAAAGTTTATTCTCGCATTCCGTAACCTCCTTGATCTCTTGTTATCCGTGAAGTAATTTTTCTAGGTGCTTATGGAGTTACCTGTGGTGTCAAGGACAGACAAACTTACTACATATACGTTCAAAATATGATTCCTAGATCAAAGAGTTTGTAGCAGTTGGTTACTCTGTCGATATAACACGCTTGTATCGCTGACATTTCTTTTGTCACACGTTTGGGCTAGGTTGGACACAGTCATAAACTGTCATTGGTACCGAATATGAGTTTCAAACTGCATGATCGGTTTTGGCTGACTCGTAATGTTTATGAATACTTCATGGTAACTAAGTAGCTTATTTCGAAATCCCTTGTTTATAATGGTGATTAAGTCTCTGAGAGTCAACTGTAAAACAAAAGACTTTATTATAATGTAGTTTTAATATATCTTGGACAGTAAAATCAATTGTGTTTGACATATTTTTCTCGATGTGCTATTGTTCTTAATCCTCCTTATAGTTTTTCCTGTAAAACGTCTTTACAAACCTTTTTCTATGCCCCAGGATTCGTGTACTTTTTGGAGTTAGTCATTAAAATTAACGTTGGTAGCCATTTTTTATTGAATAAAGAAATACTCCATTCGGTAATTAGTTTATTGGGGCACAGTTTTGGAGGTTTGCGTTTTTACACATTTGAAATCATTAATCAATCATCATTGTTAGACCACCATTAATGATTTCAAATGTGTAAAAACGCAAACCTCCAAAACTGTGCCCCAATATAATGTAACAGTGCTCACTAGTGACTAGCTTCGTGAGGAAATTCTCGGAGTTCTAGTTGAGAAGACGTGACCAGTGGAGTTCAACCCTGTCGGGTGTAGGCAGTAACTACCAAAGACAAATGGGTGAGGTCGCGCAAAATCCCTAGATCAATCAGAGTTAGACATTAACACCGTTGGATGCCGGCCCAGTGGTCCGATGGTAAGGCGTTCGCCTACAATGCCAAAGGTCCCGGGTTCGAATCCTGCGAGGAGCAGGAGTCGTGGATGCGCACTGCTGAGGAGTCCCATACTAGGACGAAACGGCCGTCCAGTGCTTCCAGGTTTCTAATGGTGGTCTAACAATGATGATTGATTAATGATTTCAAATTAGTTTATGTTCTGAAGCATTGAATATTAAATCCTATTTTAAATGAGTGGTTGGCAGTACATAGCTTTGCATAGTTGTGGCTCTTTTAACTGATGGACATGTGTACTGAGTACAAATCCGATTTCATAAATTTCTTTTTTAGTTTTCCAAGAAACCTGACTTCCTCTATGCACCGCTTATATTTATTCAGTTATTAAGCATACATTTGTGAATCACTCCCTAGAAGCTTGTTATTGTCAGCTCTCTTTACCGGAGGTCCAATCAACTAAATATGGTAAGTTGTCATAAACATTGTACACTATTTTAGACTCAATCATCATACTTGATGGCTTTTATTCGGAGTCTTATGGAAAAGTAAGATCTTATATTTTTCTTGTAGCTAGCAAATTACTTTCCAGTAGCTCCATGGACATTCGAGAGAAGAAAAGACGTCAACTGGAAAAAGATTTCACAGAAACAGGAGCGGTGCTTAACATCTGTCTCACTGGTTTGTGTCTTGTCAACTTAAAAAAATTGATTGAAACTTTTAGAAAAGTTTAGTGATGTGAATAAGATTTTGAATACGTATGGACTTGTTTCACAGCGTGTTAGGGGTAATTCCAATATTTCATTATATCGAATATTTTTTAGATAACAAGATGTCTGTCGCTAAAATACAACGAGATCTTATCGAGTGTAAAAGTTTGTTATATTGCAACAGGGATGAACTAAGAAGACTGTGGCTGGAACTTGTAGAACAGAGACGCTGTTTAGAGTTGGTAGACCAGGTAGATCGTCTACGTTCTACCCCAGATGCGTTGAACTATTTAGTATCCGCTCGTGCTTGGTCTGAAGCTACTTCCTTAATGATTAACTCTAATGATGTGCTGGAATCAGAAATTGCCTCAATACCTGCAGTTCAAACGCTGAAAACTGACCTTGCACATAAAAACAAAGTAATGCTGGTGTAAAGTTTAAATATCGTCTTAATATGTTTAATTCAGTCAGTTAGTCAGTCATATGCAACGTAGAACTTCGTACGTAAGTACATCAGTTCATGTCGCCATACCACATCAGCACAGAGATGAAATTGTCAATTCAAATCCAATAGTAGAAGAGGTAGTGAAGGTATTAAAAGTAATCGGAGAGGTTAGGATTAGAAGATATTATTCAAGAAGTTTGATTAAATGAGAAAAGTTTAGAAAGTCAAAAATAGAAGTGTTGAAGAACCCAGAAGATTAGGATTTGAGAGAACACAGAGAATAAATGCACCGGCGCCATTGCGAACGATTTTGAGCCATGTCATTCAAGGTCTCTAACCATCGATTATTATCATCTCGCAGACCCCAACCAAGTAGTCGACAATTACCGACATGGCTAAGTCCACTTGTCAATGACTTCATGGATTTTTGCCAGTTTTTGGTTTGGCCGCCCCTAACTTTCTTCCAACCTACTCCTACACTACAAAACAAGGCTCGACGAGGCAGTCGGTGGTTGGGCATACGCAACACATGTCCCAACCACGTCAACTGATGAAGTTTCATTACTTCATCAAGCTGCACGAATTTGTAATTGTTTATATGTTTGCTTGTTTGAAATCAAGTTTATCGTTTTGTAGTTCGAAGATGAACTGCTAGGTTACTGAATTGATAGTTCTTGATGATTGTGAATACTCGGTTTCAGAGTCGGCTAATCAATCTGGAAGACGTAGTAAGCTAAAGTTACCCAAAACATTTGAAATAGTAGGTGTCAGTAATATCTTGTTTAGAATGTTTGTCAGATATCTGTTTTCCAGTTGTTAGTTCTGCTGATCTCACTATTCACACAGTCACCGCAACATCACAATGGCTATCAATAATTAAGTATACTGGATAACAGATTACACTTGGCTATTTTGTTGATGAAACAGCTCCATTGCATGTAAAGAGTACAATACGTTTATTCTTTGGTCGTAATACTATTACTTGTTAAATTCTTTAGACACAATTACTGGTATAAAAGGGCAGTGAAAAATTTATATGCCACACAAATAATTGAATTTATATATTGTTTGGGATACTGCTCAAACCAAAACAAGTTATTTTCCTAGGGAGGCACTCCCCGAGCCTTTGACCTTCAGGTTTAATCCATAAGCAAGTGAAGCAACTTTAGGCGAGGCAGTTACGTCATAGCTGGTGACCAACAGTAGGTTAATACTCCGGTTTTTCCGTAAGGATCCTGAAACCTATGTACACCGTTTGTTTGGAATCAGGGTTTTTCAACTCCCCTATGTAGATTTTCCGTACCTACCAATAGTACTATCACATCTCCTTTGTTTACTTATCTGGTTAATGTCGTCACAGTATAGTAATGTAACGTAGCAACCTGAATCAGTGTTTATTTATCTCAGGTCTTACATTGGCTTTGATAAAGTGATTGGCAGTGAGTATAATAGAACTGAGGATATGTACGTATGTATGTGTCGGTAATGCGATGTTCTCGAGTTATTCGTTCAGGAATGCTTAGTGGTAACTTAATAAGTACACGTTTATATGCCTAGATTTGTGTTACATTATACTGAGATAGAAGTAGATAAATTCGCATTCGAAATTATAACCTGAATACTTAAACGTCAAGAGGTTTACAGCATTAGACCACCACTGCTGCACAAAGCAACTAGTTGCGTAAAAATTTCACCTAGTAATTCGAATTGGTCGATAAACTGTATAGACCTAAATTAATGAAATTTAATTAGGATTTGTCATGGATTCTAAACTATCACCTCTTAGCAGTATCAACGTACACTAACATTTCAACAGTGCAAAAAACTGACTATTAATTCTGTTAAAATTACAAATCTAATGATAGACTTATAATCATATTCTTTTTTTTTCTAAATCTACTTGATTTTAGTTTCTTATTGACGAGTTGAAAAAAGAATTGAATCGTTTGCTTTATGATAAACCGTGTATTTTAGCTTTGGATATGCGTCTTAGAAGTTCTTCACGAGATAAATCAGTTCGTACTCATTCTGAGTAAGTGAATTGAATTTTTTTTTCACCTTTTATTGATCTGTTAGGTCAAAAAAACCAAGCTCAGTAAAATAGTTAACGTTGTACTTTACAGAAAATACTAGAACTAACTCAGAAATTCTTGACTACAATTGAGATACTTACTTACTTACTTATGCCTGTTACCCCCAATGGAACATAGGCCGCTAGTCATTTCTCTCCAACCAACTCTGTCTTGGGCTTCCCTTTCTAGTTCTTTCCAGTTTTTTTTCATTCTTCTCATATCTTTCTCTATTTCTCGGCGTAATGTGTTCCTTAACCTTTCTCTTTTCCTTTTGCCTTGAGGGTTCCATGTGAGGGCTTGTATCGTGACACAGTTCGGTGCTTTTCGTAGTGTGTGTCATATCCACTTCCACCACTTCTTCCGGATTTCCACCTACACTGGAATCTCGTTTGTTCTCTCCCACAGTAAGTTATCGCTGATAGTGTCTAGCCAACAAATCCGAAGTATTTTGCGTAGACAACTGTTCATAAATACTTGTATCTTGTGGATGATGGCTTTGGTAGTTCGCCAAGTTTCCGATCCATACAGCAGAACTGTCTCGACATTTGTATTGAAAATCCTGATTTTGATTTTGGTTGAAAGTTGTTTGAAGTTCCAGATATTTTTCAACTGTAGAAATGCAGCCCTTACTTTGCCAATCCGCGCCCTCACATCTGCATCGGATCCACCTTGATTGTCGATGATGCTGCCCAGATATGTCAAAGTGTTAACGTCCTCCAAGGTATCTCTATCACCGGAATTTTACAACTGACATAGGATTCCGTTAAACCATGATGATAATGAACACATCGCCAAAGTTATCTGTTATGATATTGTCAGTCATTGTTTTATAACAGCAAACCTTGTAATTATAACTAAGTAATTCAACAATTAGAATTTCAATGATGAAGCTTACCTGGTTTTAATTAAGGGTATTTAAGATAATTTAATCTTATCACTAAGTTACCATCATGTGTGTTAGTTAGAACAATAAAAAGCTCCACAATCAAAATATCTAGTTCGGAGAACAAGAGAACTCCATTACAGTTTAGTTCATCATCTCTTTGACTATCTTCCAAAAGAACGGCTATCCACGCAACTTCATCAAAAAACATCAACCGAAACCATCATCAGAAGTGAAATCAAGCACAGGAACCAATAAACGGATCATCCTGCAATACATAAAAGACATATCGGAGCATACAGCATGACTACTGAAACCATTTGGCACTCAGGTCAATCAGCAATTAACAAACACATCGACATTGACCCAATTTATCAACCAATCAGGAAAATCATAGGTGATATAGAATCAAGAAACAGATCAAAAAGGGGGATGCAATCAAAACAAAGGTGCAAACAACGACAGGTTTAAGGTCAACAACAACAACCAATCAACCAATCGAGGTTAGCAGCAGAACAAGCTACAGGTCAAACGTGGAGAAATTCGAATGCTTCACTTCTTCTATCTGAAGTTTGTGCTGATGATGTTGTTCAGAAGAACAATGACATTTGCACAACTAAAACATCCAGCTCAGAGAACCAAACACCACCACCACCACCACCACATATTACAGTATCTTACGCCGATCACTCCTATATAATCTTAAGGCTGTAAGCATTATTAGCAGAGAGAGAGGTAGTCGTGACTGTCTGTTCTAAACGCATCACACTATAGCGTCATCTAACATGCTGAGTGGGAAAAAACAACCACCAATATTACAATACCCTTTCATTAAGTGTACACAAATAAAAGCAATTGTTAGATAAAACACACCTACTTATTGGAATAATAAGAAGCATTACAAATAACCTCATTCAGTGTATTCATCATAAATGAATATTGATTTTCTTATTTTTCTTTTCTGTTAAATTAACACATATATGCTGATAGTTTACGAAATATCAACGCATTGAATACAGTAGCTGTGACACATTTTGTTAGTTTACCATTATGTGATTGGCATAATGCATCAATTAATGAACCGGTAGTTGATGAAAATCTCTATAAAGAACCTAGAACAGTAGCTACAGTGATTGCACGAACTGCTGCTGCAGCAGCCGCCGCATCATCAGCCACATCACATGTGAATGACACAGTTGATCATCCACATCAACTCCATCAACCACAACATCAGCATCAGCAGCATCCTAGTGCCTTGTCTCATTCGGATTGGATACGTGAAATTGTCGCTGTAACACATTGTCTTATGCGTTTGCAAAAATTACCACAGGTTAGACGAATATACATATCTATATATATGTGTATATATTTTGAGTAATTTTTTTTGTAACCACATTTAGTTTGTGAAATTGTGACAGAATGATAATATGCATAAAATTATAGCTTTGTGTGACTGACATTCATGTGAAGGCTCAATAGCTTTTTAATCAATCCTATGGTAAATATTAGATGTAAGTTATGTGTGTGTGTGTGTTTGTGTATGTTAAATGATCAACAAGAAGCCCTGCTGTGCTGTTACGGGCATGAAGTCAGTGACAAGTGGACTGAGGCTTGTTAATGTAGGTGTGGACTAACTATCAGATTGGTGTCAGCGTTAACCGATGGTCAGTCAGTTGCAATGTGGAACTTCGTACGTATGTACATAAGTTCATGTTGCCATACCACACATTAGCACAGAGATGCAAATGTCAAATCAAATCCCATAGTGATAAAGATAGTAGAAGTATTAATGGTAATGAAGAAGACTAGGGTTTGAAGATATTATTCAAGAAGTATAATTCAGTAAGATAAGGTTAGAAAGACAAAGGTAGAGGTGTTGACGAATCCAGAAGATTAGGATTTGAGAGAGCTCAAACGATGGATGCACTTGCGCCATTGCGAACGATTTTGAGCCATGTCGTTCAAGGTCTCTAAACATTGGTGACTATCGTCTCGCGGACCCCTACCACGTAGGCGACAACTACCGAGATGGCTAGGTCCACTCGTCAATGACTTCATGGATTTCTGCCATGTTTTGGTTTGGCCGCCCCTAACTTTCTTTCAACCTACTCCTACACCACAAAACATAGCTCGTCGAGGCAGTCGGTGGTTAGGCATACATAACACATGTCCCAACCACCTCAACTGATGAAGTTTCAATATTTCATCTATTGATTTACCATTCTTACCTAGCACCCGTTTCCTAATAACAGCGTTGCTCACTCGGGTGTCCCAAGATATACGAGCAATGCTTCTAAGACATCCATGATCGAATACTAGTAACCTACGAACATCTACTTTTAACGGCCATGTTTCGCATCCATATTGGAGAACGGAGCGAACTGCTGAGCAGTACACCCGTCCTTTGGTTAGCGAACGGATATCTCGCCTACGCCATAAACGGCGTAAATTGGCAAAAGCAAATCGAGCTTTCAGTAACCGATAGTTAGAGACATTGAATTATATGACTCAAAATCGTTTGTCATGGAGCAGGTTCGTGTATTCTTTGTCTTCCCTCTCATACTCAAGTCTTCTAAATTCCTCGTGACCATTTTCTCTCTTTAAATTGATTCCGCTGGGTTATACTTCTTGAATGATATCTTCGATTACTAATCTTTTTGCGTACCGTTAGCACTTCTACTACCTCTGCTACTCCGCCATTGCAAGGTGCATCCACTCGTTATGTTCTATGAAATTCTAATCTTCTGAATTCCTCATCACCTCTGCCTTTCTCTTTCTAAAATTATCTCACTGAATTATACTTCTTGAATAATATCTTCTCCGTAACCAGTAATACTTCTACTATTTTTAGTACTATGGGGTTTGAACTGACATTTGTGTCTCTGTGCTAATTTGGTATGGTAACTTGAATTGATGTACGTACGTACGTGCGAAGCTCTACATTGTAGCTGACTGACTAACAGAGAAGCCCTGGTTCCAGGTTTTGTTCTATTCGGACACCTGATAAAATGGATCCTACCAGTTGGATTCAAATCTGGTTCATCCATTTTCATGATCTAGAACGTTACAATCGACCAGTTTTTGGTCTGGTAGTACTAAGAACTACACAAATAAAACATTTTCTGTCTCTACTTGTTGTTCGATTCATATAAAAATCTAATATAAATGCTTGCTAACGGATAAGAATATTTTCAATTAGAGTTATGGAGATTAGTGTTTTTACACATTCGAAACCATCAATCAATCATTGTTAGACCACCATTAGAAACCTGGAAGCACTGAAAGACGGCTGTTTCGTCCTGGCATGGGACTCATCAGTGTCAGTGAGCATACACGACTCCTGCACCTCGCAGGATTCGAACCCGGGACCTTCGGTCTTGTGCGCGAACGAAAATGGGTGAGGTCGCGCTAAATCCCTAGATCAATCAGAGTTAGACATTAACACCGCTGGATGACGGCTCAGTGGTCCAGAGGTTAGACCGAAGGTCCCGGGTTCGAATCCTGCGAGGTGCAGGAGTCTTGTATGCTCACTGACACTGATGAGTCCCATGCCAGGACGAAACAGCCGTCTTTCAGTGCTTCCAGGTTTCTTATACTGGTCTAACCATGATTGGTTGATGATTTTAAACCCATAAGAATGCATTCTGAAAAGTTTGTAATGGTTAGTTAAGTTTTATTTGACTTTTTTTTAAAGGATATGATAGTACGATTGACAATACATTTAATTAATTTTATCCTTACTTGATCTTTCATTTGAATTTCTCTTATTATTTTTTTATTTTTATTGTTTTGGTTAATAAGTATCTAGGTAATTGGCGTCCTCAATCGTATATTTCACATATAGCTGAAAATAGTCATGTGTTTACAGCGCCGTTGATTTTAGGACAAGGTTTAATTGGTGAGATTCATCGTTCAATTGTTTTGAAAATAAGTAAAACCATTGAAAATCGGTAAGAAAATCAATTCAAGATAAAAAGGAAAACATAAATTGATCATAATGTTTCTTTATTTCTCGAAAACCATACTACGCCTGTCTTGCAAGCATGTTCGGGATGCGGTTTTCCCCGTCGAAATGCAAAATGTTGCTTCAAGATTGGGTTTCACCGGCACCTGAACTAGTGATAGGGAGTGAAGTAGTCGAGCGTGTTGACCGCTCCACTTATCTCGGGAGTCTCATCAGTGCCGATGGCCTAGTGACTGACGAAATCTCAGCGCGGATAGAGAAAGCTCGATTTGCTTTTGCCAACCTGCGTCACTTATGGCGTAGGCGAGATATCCGTTTGCTGACTAAAGGACGAGTGTACTGCGCAGTGGTTCGCTCCGTCTTACTTTATGGCTGTGAAACATGGCCAGTGAGAGTAGAAGATATTCGTAGGTTACTGGTTTTCGATCATAGGTGTCTTCGGAGCGTTGCTCGTATATAGTGGGACACCCGAGTGAGCAACGCTGTTATTAGGAAACGGGTGCTAGGTAAGAATGGCAAATCAATAGATGAAGTGGTGAAACTTCATCAGTTGAGGTAGTTGGGACATGTGCTGCGTATGCCTAACCACCGAATGCCTCGACGATTTTTGTTTTGTAGTGTAAGAGTAGGTTGGAAGAAAGTTAGGGGCGGCCAAATCAAAACATGGCACAAATCCATGAAGTCATTGACGAGTGGACTGAGTCATGTTGGTAGATGTAGACTACCTGGTTGGGGTCCGCGAGATGATAGTAACTGATGCTTAGAGAACTTGAATAACATGGCTCAAAATCGTTTTCGATGGCGCAAGTGCATCCATTCCTTGTGTTCTCTCAAATCCTAATCTTCTGGTTTCTTCAACCCCCCTAGTTTTGACTTTCTCAACTTATCTCACTGAATCATACTTCTTGAATAATATCTTCTAATTCTAACCTCTCCGATTACTTCTAATACCTTTCCTACCTCTTCTACTATTGGATTTGAATTGACAATTATATCCTTGTGCTGATGTGGTATGGTAACATGAACTGATATACTTACGTACGACGTTCTACGTTTTAACTGACTGACTGATCTAATGTTGGATGAAGGGAAGCAGATTTTCTTTTGGTCAAATCGCAGTATCACATCAGTGGTCTAAACGACTTAACATCGTGTAGTTTTGGCGGTATTGTGATTTCTAAGTGAGGTGCTTTTATTATATAGTTCTGGACATCATAGGCGCTTGAAATCATGCAGAAGTAATTGATTAACTCCTGTTACTCCTTGTGAGGCAAAGACATCCATTCACAGATATACAACCAATCCTCTCCTGGACACTCTCCAAACGCTATTCATTCGTTTAATGTCTGCCTCCAGTTCTCATCTCTATGGTTTCTTTGATCTATGTCTTTTCATTTCGCATTAAGTATTAGAAGTTAGGGCTTGCCTCGAGATATAGTTGGATGATTTCCGTGACGTTTGGCCTATCCCACCTCCGGCGTTTATTCCTTATTTCCTTCTCCACTGGAATCTAGTTTTCTTTCCGTTCTAGGGTACATTATTGCTGATAGTGTCTGACTTGTAGATGTGAAACATCTCCCGTGGATATTTGTTTACAAATACCTGTGATTTTTTGGTGATAGTTATGGTAGTTCTCCAAGTTACTTACTTACTCCTGTTACCCCCAACGGAGCATAGACCGCTGATCAGCATTCTCCAACTTACTCTCTCCTGCGACCTCCTTTCTAGTTCTGTCCAACCGTTGTTCATTCTCCTCATGTCTGTCTCTAATTGTCGGAGCGGTGTGTTCATTGGTCTACCTCTATTCCTTGAGCCTTGAAGATTTCAATTGAGTGCTTGCCCCGTGATACATTTTGATGAAATCTACGATGTACCCTATCCTCTTCCAGCGTTTTTTCTTAATTTCTTCCTCTAATGAAATCTGGTTTTTCCTCTCCCACTGTAAGTTGTTGCTGATAGTGTCTTGCCAAACGGATTTGAAGTATTTGCGTAGACAACCGTTAATAAACACTTTTATCCTGCGGATGATGGCTTTCGCGGTTCTCCAAGTTTCCGCTCCATACAGTAGAACTTTCTTGACATTGTTATGGAGAATTTTTACTTTAGTGTTGGTTGATAGTTGTTTTGAGCTGCAGATTAAGAAAGCAAGAGGCGGTCAAACCAAAACATGGCATAAATCGATGAAGTCACTGACAAGTGGACGGAGCTTTTTAATAGGTGTAGACTACCTAGTTGTGCCCACTAGTGACCAGCTCCGCGTTCTCATGAGAAGTCGTGACCGGTGGAGTTTAACTCTGTTCGGTTGTGAAGCAGTGCTTACCGAAGTCATTTGATGAAATTGCGCAGGACCATAGATTGATTGAAGTTAGACATTAGCATAGTTGGATGCCAGCTCAGCAGTGTAGGATCATTTTATGTTTCTGCTTGATGTAACGCCAAACCACTGTATTAATGACCCTCGTAACGTTAGACTCCCACCGTCAAAAATAAAAAGACGGAAGACGTTGGAGAACACTTATTAACAGAATCAAAAATATACAACCAAACATGCTTATTTATACAATTATAAATATAATCGATATTGTCGTTTAAATATTTGAATTTTAAATCCAATAGTTCATCGATTGACTGCCCTTGAAATATTTAAGCATTTAATCGATAAGTTCATCAATCCACAATGTGCATGGCTTTCTTCTCGATTGGCTATCCCAACAGAGCAAAGCGTTCGCGCGTAAGACCAAAGGTCCTGAATTCGATTCTTGCTAGCCGGAGTCGTGAATACACACTGTCATTGACGAGTCCCATAATAGGACGAAATGGCCGTCCAATGCTTCGAGGTTACTAATGCTAATGGTCTAACATTGATTGATTTATGATTTCCAAATGAAAACCTCAACAATCCCCACAACACTAATAATGAAAAGTTCACACCTCTTTATTTAGTCACTTGTTTAAATTACGTAAATCTGGTTACAATAGAGCACCAAGGCCTGATGTTTCAATGTTCATATGTGAAGATCATCTAGGATTACTCAATGTTTACAGCTGATTGATGATTAACCCCCAAATTGATTCATGCCCTACCATGTATTTATGTTTCTTTATTACGTTTTACTAGAGCAATTGCTGCAAATGATACTGTACCATTGTCAGAACTGAATTCACCTAGATATTTAATTCAATTATTGGAATTAGTATTTGATGCTTTATTTATGCAAGCTAGAGCATGTCTTCTTGTGCTGCGTACATTGAATGCAGTGAAACAAGTAAGGATGATTTTATTCTGTGTTAGTTTTTTATGTTACACATTGTTGATTGATGCTTAAATCTGACCTTAGCTGTGGTCTTGACGTGGTGATCAGGTTTGTCTATTGTGATGATGAATCAACCAAGCTATACTGGCTGGAACATTATGTGTTCCTACCCTGCTAGGCAGGTCGATTGGAGAACGATGAGACTGAAAGTAGCTACTCAAGGTCTGAGGGTGAAGTCGTACTACTGACTGTAGAGGAGTGTGACAACAGTAGGGTGTTTGCATCGGACAACCAGCATCTGCAGTGATGTTTCCTCTACACAAAGAAGGAAGGGGTTAGAAAAGGTCGACCCTAAAAATGTCACACCTCACTTTACGTCACGGATTTCCGTCTCCAACGGGAAGGCCTTTTATTCAAGGGCGGAGCTAACACATCACGAACTTTTCATAAAAAGGCCGTGCGTGACTGGTCTCAAGCAGTTGTCCCTTGGGCTCTGCAATCACGCTCCTAAGTCTCGAAGACCGACACTAATCTACCTTTCTTTTCAAATTCTTCAAGAAACACCATTCCACGGTGTGGGCAGCCTGGAATCGACATCTGCACACATGAGATCAACTCGTTCATTGGACCGATATCAGTAATAGCAACAAATAACAACATAAACACAAAGCAGAGAACAGTAAAGATACAAAGTTGTAGTTTACATGATAAAATAGCCTCTCATCTCTATGACCTATACAGATACGTCTATCACTAGCAAATGATGGGTTACAACTATCTTGTTTCGTTGACTAGTTATTCAGTGTGATGTAGATCACTAGCTTAGATCATTGTTAGGATATTCATGCAATATCCTAAGAGAATTAAAGGTCAATTCCTATTGCTGAATTCCTATTGGTCAATTTTATGGTCGTCCTAGATATCACTGTCACGTACTCCAATGTTGTTTCTTATTGGTTATCCTGACTATCAATGTCACCCCAAACGTTGCTTCCTATTGGTCGTCTTAACTGTCAATGTCACAGACTTCGATGCTGTTTCCTATTCGACCAAAATGTATATATACGCATTATCTGTAACGTTTTATGACCACGACCAGGACCCGGTCCCGGATCCCTTTTGCGGGGTCCTGATTCTCTCTGGATTCGGACCTCGTACTTTCTGTATACTTGTAGAATACAGGTTCTACCTCATATCAAGTCTTCTTATTTTTACTAAATATGGAGGTTTGGATAATCGGATTAGTGTAGCATATTGTGTCGCCGGATCCTCAATCCTCACTCTCATTTTCTGACTAGGTAAAATCATAATAGTTCAAGTATATCAAAATGACGTCTTTACGTGCTGGCGTAACAATCATTCAGACACATCATTTTTCTTTACTCACTAATCGGAAAATGAGATTTGTTATTCAATATATACAGTCGCATTTTCTCAAGTGAATGTCAACCATATCATATAAGATGGCTCAGTTCAACAGACAATAGTTTGGTAAATTTTCACTATGTCTAAATACTTACTAATTAAGCATTCATTACAAAATTCTAACTGATCTCAATTGATAAGAATCTACATCTTTATCCAGTGGATTTACTTAGTATTTTTTCCTAATATCCCATGTTCAATCGTTTAACAGTATTCACTTGTAGTGATTCCACTATATTTAATAATTTATATTATCTGAAATCTTATCTTCGATTCCCTTCCTCACTGATACCGTAGTTATTTCAACTATGCTGGGATTTGTCCTGACAATTTCATCTCTGTGTTAAAGGAGGTATCAACTTGAACTGATGTACGTGTGTAGCAAGTACTATGTTGCATCTAACTGAATGACTGATTATACTCAAATAATGCTTTTCTGAGAGATAAAAATGTCAGAGTATATGTCTTGTTTCAATTAATCAGTTCTGTAATACAATGCTAATTGTTTAAACGACTTTTTTAAAGGCTATTTTTATGTAAAAACTATGCAATTGTTCTTATTTGTACTTTTCTTACACTTATAAAGAAACATGTCAGAGCTTCCATAGAACTACAAGGTTTAACTACTCAATATATCTGGTCATGTGTTCAACATGAAGTAAGTAATTATTTTTTCTATCTCATGTAGTATTTTGCTAGAGATAACATGATGTTAACTGAACCGATAATAAATGGAAACTTAAAAAACTTATCGGGATGCGATTCTCCTCGTTGAAATGCAAAATGTCACTTCACGATTGATTGGCTTGTATCAGCACCTAAACTTGTGATAGGGAATAAAGAAGTTGTGCGTGTTGACCACCTCACTAACTTAGGGAGTTTCATCAGTGGTGATAGCCTGGTGACTGACGAAATCCCAGTACGGATACAGAAAGCTCGATTGGCTTTTGCCAGCCTACATCACTTATGGCATAGGCGAGATATCCGTCTGTTAACTAAAGGACGAGTGTAATGCACAACAGCTCTCTCTGTCCTACTTTATAGATGTGAAACACAGCCGGTCAGAGTAGAAGATATTCTTAGGTCGCGTATCCTGGGACAACTGAGTAAGCACTGTTGTTGTTAGGAAATGGGTATTAGGTAAGAATGGCAGTTCAATAGATGAAGTAGTGACACTTCATCAGTTGAAATGGTTGGTACATATGTTACGTGTATGCCCAACCACTGACTGACTACTCAAAGAGCTATGTTTTCTGATGTTGTTGTGGTTTAGAAGAAACCCTGGGGACGGCCACATCAAAACATAGCACAAATCCATGAAGTCAATGACAACTGGACTAAGCCATGTTGGTAGGGGTCGACTACCTGGTTGGGGTAGGCGAGATAATACTAATCGATGGTTAGAGACCTTGAACGACATGGCTTACAAATCATTTATAATGGCGCAGATGCACCCATTATCTTTGTCTTCGTCTCAAATTTGAATCTTCATCATTCATTGTCATCATCTTTAATTTAAAACTTAATTGATTCACATTCCATCATTACTCATTATTCTACTACTGTTTTTTCTCATGCTGCTGTTGATGATGTTGTTGATGTCGGGCAGGTATATTGTGTTCTATTAACACATTTGAATAATATTACACCAACTGAATTAAATGAATTATCACTTTCATCAAATAAAAATGGTTTATTCAAGCTACAAGCACGTATTAGTAAAATCGGTATTGCTATTGACGGTGAAGATGTAACAACAACGGATAATGATCATTCCAGTGCGACATTAGATTTAAGCAAAGTTGATTTGAATGCATTAATGGGTCGTAAACGTATTGGAGCATTTAATTTTGCATCAATCACTGGTTCATCTTCAACAACAACAGCAACTACTACCAATACTACTACTAATACTACTTCTACTGCTACCGCTTCTATGATCTCAACCAATACTAATACTATTCCTACTACTGCTACTATTACTAATATCAATTCTACTAATACTACTACTATTATGACACGAGATAATCAATCGAATATGAATACAGTTACAGGAAATATTACTGCAACTAATCCAACTGTTGCAACAAATCAAGGTCAAAGTAATAATAATGTACCATTATTTAGCTTTTCTAATGCATCACATTATCTTGGTGTATCGACGTATTTATCAGAAAGTCGGGCAATGGTAAGTCTATACTAGATAGTATCAATTATTGTAATAACACTAATTAACTAACTAACTAACTAACTAACTGACTAATTGTTAGGATATTCATTCAATATCCTAAGAGAATTATTGGTCAATTCCTATTGGTTAATTCCTATTGGTCAATTTTATGGTCGTCCTAGTAGATATCAATGTCACGTGCTCCAATGTTGTTTCTTATTGGTTGTCCTGACTATCAATGTCACTTCAAATGTTACTTCCTATTGGTCGTCTTAACTGTCAATGTCACAGACTTCGATGCTGTTTCCTATTCGACCAAAATGTATAATACGCATTATGTGTGACGTTTTATGACCACGACTAGGACCCGGTCCCGGATCCCTATTGCGGGATCCTGATTCTCATCTGGATTCAGATCTCGTACTTTCTGGATGCTTGTAGAATACAGGTTCTACTTTATATCACGTCTTTAATTTTTACTAAATATGGAGGTTGGGATAATCGCATTTGAGTAGCATGCCGTATCACCGGTTCCTCGATCCTAGCTCTCGAGTTTCCGAATAGGTAAACTCGTAATAGTTCAAGTATATCAAGTTGACGTGTTTACGTGCAGGCGTAATACTAATATACTTGAACTATTACGAATTCACCTTACTCGGTAAACGGAACGATGATCAATAATTCAGCGACGCGATAGGCTACTCTAATCCAATAACTAGAGGAGAAGTCTTGATAAGACATGTATCCAGTAGGAACGAGGTCCACAAGCACACATCTTAAGCTTATTTATGCAATGATAGGAATGCCCTTAGTGAGAGCCACAAAATAGCATACTAAAATAACCCATTAGCCAATGATAGACAAAGATTTCCCGATTGGGAAATGCAATCTGTGGGTCAAACTAAGCGTCTTTGGCGCGAAAACAGAAAAAATTCAAAATTTCGGAGTAAAATTACAAAGTTAGGACCTTTTCAAGTGAGTTCTAGGGAGCTAACGTCCCCAACACAAACTAACTGAAATAATTAACCAAAGGGACTTCAACAACATGTTAGATGATAATATTCATGTGTGTGTGTGTGTGGGTGGGTCTGTTGAGAAAATGGAAAGAAAGCGAAGATATTGCTTTTGAGCAACTGAATACATATCAGTAGTAACTCAGTAGTTTAGTAAATGATTCTCGAAATTTTGAAGCTTTTGGTTTTGAATTCGATTCTTATCATGTCATCTCTAAAGTTAAAGTCTTTTAAAGAAGAAAATAATAAAGTCCCCATGTAGATTGAGTACTATGGTAGACGAGGATTGTCACAACTATGTGATATATATGAGCGCAATTTATTTCGAACAATCTGATCTCACATCTGCTACTTGTTACGGATTTTAGTAATAAACTCTATGATGAAAAATCGTACAATTCACTCACTAATGACTAGTTTCATGAGGAAATTCTGCGGTTTCTAATGAGAACACATGACTAGTTGAGCTCTGGTGTAGGCAGTAGCTATCGAAGATAATGGGTGAATCCTTAAATCCTTAAATTGATCAGAGTTAAACATTAACAGCGTTGGATGATAGCTCAGTGGTCTAGGGGTTAGGTGTTCGCTTGCAAGTTCGAAAGTCTTGTGTTCGAATCCTGAAAGTCGCTGAAGTCGTGGATGCGCACTGTCACTGATTAGTCCCATACCAGGACGAAACGGCTGTCCAGTGCTTCCAAGTTTCTAATGGTGGTCTAACAATGATCGATTCATGATTTCAGTTAAAAACAACAATCTTCATAACTCTATATTGAGAAATAATTCATGGTCAACTTCACAAATGAGAAGTAAGAAATACCTAACGATGAGTAGGCGGGTTAAATTTTCGCATGACCAAAGCTTCAATAAACCTTAGTATTATTATCTTAAACACTTTTGTGCAATACCACAAAAATCGAGTTAAAATCAATCTGATTGACCTGTTTCAACTATAGCAGACACCAGATGTTTATTATCTGCTCATATTGCGTCAATCGATTTTAATTATTTTTGTAAACATTTAGGTGCCGCTGTTTGGCTTTTCCCGAGAAAAGACACTTATTTAAGCATAGTAGAGAACTACCGAGACACAGAAGTTTTTTCTGCAGGTTTTTAGTGGTTTTTGCATCTTTGAACATACTTTTCCTATCCAACGATAGCTGGCCATCTATGCACCGAATAGGTTGATAGTTTCTTGTTGCATCCAATTTACGAACATCTGAATAGATCGTTTTATTGTTATGTTATCCTTATTTGTTTGTGATTGAGTTGTTCAGTCAGCTACAACATAGAACTTCGTACGTACGTACATCAGGAGACCAGTAATGACGTTTCGTGAACTCGCATTGTTTGCATTAGTGGTGCAGTGTGATAAAGGAGTTTGAGAAAGGTTAGTCGTGGAGATAAGAGAGATGTTAGGGGATGTAGTAAGGATTTGATTGTGACCAATTTGGACTCGTGTTCCGTTAAGGATATGAGGGCGGATGTCACTTCCCGGCTGCTCACACCGTGGAAGGTTGTATCTTGAGGAACCTGAAAAGAAAGGTAGACTAGCGTTGGTCATAACGACCTGGGAGCGTGACCGCAGAGTTCAAGGAACTACTGCTTGAGGCCGGTCACGCACGGCCTTTTTATGAAAGGTTTTTTGAGTGTTAGCTCCGCTCTTAAAGGCCCTTAGTGGGCACCCTTACCGCCGGAGATGGAAATCTGTGAGGTAGGGTGAGGTGTGACATTTTTAGGGTCGACCTTTTCTAACCCTTCCTTCCTTGTGAGAAGGCAGCATCGCTGCAGATGCTGGTTGTCTGAGAGAAACACCTTACTGCTGTCACACGTCTCTACAGTCAGCAGTACGACTTCACCCTCAGACTTTGAGTAGCTGCTTTTAGTTTCATCATTCTCCAATAGACTTGCCTGGCATGGTAGGACCTTCAGGAACATGTGCCCCAGCCAACACAGCTCGGTTGGGTCATGACCATAGGCATTTTCTCGTGCTGAACAGCAGACATCCATTTCAGAAAGAATGGAAACTCCATCACAGTTAATCATCTGTACGGTTAGAGACCTTGAATGACATGGCTCAAAATTGTTTGCAAATGGCGCAGATGCATTCATTTATTGTGTTTTCTGAAATTCTAATCTTCTGTATTCCTCATCACCTTTATCTTTCTCTTTCCAACTTTGCCTCACTGAATTATACTCTAATCTTCTCCATTATTACTAATACTTCTACTGTGGTGTGAGCTACTTATAAGTAGTATATGACGCGAGTGTAAACGTAATGTCTGGAAGCAGAAGATGGGGGAAGATCAAGAAAGGAAGAATTGGAACACAATGGAATTTGTATGAAACGCATGAATAGTGACAATGGATTGATGTTTTGCAACAGGAACAGTCCAGTTCGATATGATGAACTGATATTTTGCAAATGAACGATTTACGATATGGTTTTCCAATTTTACTGAGTAACTCCAGTTTTTGATAAATACGATCCGGTTGCCCCACCTGTGTTGTCGTTCACTACACTACTACCGCTACCACTATTGGATTTGTACTGACAGTTGCGTCTCTGTGCTAATTGCGGTATGGTAATCTGAACTGATGTACATACGTACCAAGTTCTGTGTTGAATCCGTATGTATCAAGTGATATTTTGTCAATAATAACACTACTTCTACTACTGCTAATAATAATCAATAATTAGGATACGTGAGAAAGTAGTCACAGAAAAATGATTCATTTTTACTTTGTAATTACATCATGTGATAATGAGCACTTTCCATTTGTAGACCAACTTTATCTTCTAATTCTGTGTGTATCATACTGTCTCATGTTTACATACAATGTTTATTATTCTCAACTATTTTTCATATTGAACTAATGTGTTAATCAATTAATGCGACCTACATTTAATGTGTTTTTTGTTTCTGTAACTTAGTAATAAGTAGTATGGTTAGTATCAATTTTATGTATTATCTTTCATATTTCTCATACTTTTTACGTTATCGATTTTTTATTGAGGCTTAAATGAAGGGCAGAGTAATTTTCACATGTAGTTAAAACACTATTTAAAAGTTTTGCTAGATTTTAATTGAGTGCGATATATTGTCTGATGTTGGGGGTTGACTGGAAGAAAGCTAGGGGCAGTCAAACCGAAAAACATGGCACAAATCCATGAAGTCACTGACAAGTGGACGGAGTTATGTTAGTAGTAGGTTTAGACTACTTGGTCGGGGTCGGCGAGACAATAATAATCGACGATTAGACACCTTGAATGATATGTCTCAAAATCGTTTACAATGACGCAGATACATCCATTGTATTTCTTTTCTCTCAAATTCTGATCTCCTAAATTCCTAATGGTAGTTTTTTGTTTTGGTAAACTTATTACATTGGGATATACTTTTCGAATCATATCTTCGATCCCTAATCTTTTCGATTGCCGTTACTACTTCTACTACCTCTATCGTTATGAGATTTGAATCGACAATCACATCTCCGAGCTAATATGGTACGGTAACTTGAACTGATGTATGTACGTATCAAGTTCTATGTGGTGATTAACTGATTGATTGATTTGGAGCAGATACAGTTCACTTAAGGACGTCAGTATATTCTACTTCTACTAAACGAATTCTATAAATTGATTGATCGTTGGAGTAGTGGTCAATGTGTATCTAATTTTCAGTTTATTACTTGAAATAATAAACTTTCAGTGTATCATGCAAGTAGGTTTCAGGTGGTTGGTCGACAACCTGTTCTCCACGATAGGTGATAGACGTCAGTAAATAAATAATTAAGTAAATATCACGCAAATCAACATCACAATAAACTTAGCCTTCAAATAATTCACTTGAACTACTCATTTAGAATTCATTTTCAAGTTTTATTGCTAAACGAATTGTTTGGACTTCGAGAGAAAGTCTAGGTAGACTTAAGTGAAAATGATCTTAACAAAACCTGTAAGTTGTACTTCATATCCTAAAAGTAAATATTTCTTAAGAGTCCTTGCAAACAAACCCAGAAAATTATCGATTTGCTATTATCTGCATTTTAGAGTATTAACCTGTGCTATATTGTTTTTACTTAAAGACTATTGGTACAGTTTAAGCTTATGACAAACTGTCCCCAGAATTTTGAATCTGATTTCCTACCAGTACATTCACTTATTATAAAATTGAAATACCTATATGATAGTTCTGTCTGATGAAGATTGTGACAGAATGTATTTTTTTGATTGCCTTGATCAACAGTACAATTATGTTTTGTTTGCGTTTCTCTCCAAAATATTTTTTTGGGGTTTAATCTGTGTCTGTGACTGAATGTAGTAGTTGAAAGCAGCAACCGCCTAACTTTTTTTCCAGGATTCATGAAGTCTGATGGGTTGATGGCTAACGAAATCTTGATACGGATTCAAAAAACTCGACTAGGTCTTTTCCAAATTAAGTCTATTATGCGATAGGAAAGATATTGATAGTAATCGATGTTTAGAGACCCTGAATGACATGGCTCGAAACCGTTTGCAATGACGCAGGTGCATTCATTCATTGTGTTCTCTTAAATCTAAACGTTCAAAGTTCCTCATCACCTTTATCTTCTTCTTTTTAAGTTTATTTCACTAGATTCTACTTCTTGAATAATATCTTAGAACCCTAAAATTTCCGACTACCGATAATATTTCTACTATCTTTACTTATATGGGATTTGAAGTGACAATTTTATCTCTGTGCTAATGTGATAATGCCAACTTGAACTGATGTAAGTACGAAGTTCTACGTTGTTGATTGATTAAGGAAAGATATCTGTTTACTGCGCAACCTGGACGTACCTGTATATACCACATCTTCACACTACGACAGGTCCTGGAACATAGACACACATTTAGGCGTCCTACAATAGTTGTTTGTTTAGACCTTAAGGCGGCATTAGACTCAGTGGATCGTGAGGTTCTGTGGCACTGTCTGTCAGTCAAAGGTGTATCAGAGAATTATATTAACCTTATACAAGCCCGTTACTCGAACACCACTCGTTAGACACCCTTAATGACATGGCTCAAAACCGTTTGCAATACCGCCTGTGCATCTATTCTTTGTGTCCTCTCAAATCTTAATCTTCTGGATACTTTAACCCCTCTACTTTTGACTTTCTAAACTTATCTCACTGAATCATACTTCTTGAATAATATCTTCTAATCCTAACCTCTCTGATTACTTCTAATACCTTTACTACCTCTACTACTATTGGATTTGAATTGACAATTACATCTGTCTGTGCTGATGTGGTATGGCAACATGAACTGATGTATTTACGTACGAAGTTCTACGTTGCATCTGACTGACTGACTGATTTTGCAACAGTTCTTTCGATTCTACGCGTTTTGTATGTAAAATATGACCTTTGAA